AAAAAAAAAAAAAAAAAAAAAGGTTGTGACCGGGGTTCTTTGGAAAATATGCTGTGTACTCACAGTAATCACGGTCGCCAGTCCGTTTATCCTCTAACGGACAAGGTTTAATATGTTTTCTTTCTGTTTCAGGTCCCAACGCCGTTCCGGATGTTCCCAGGATACTCCTACAGGTCTCCAGGATTTTTACGCAGATCAGGATTCCTTGGACGGATAAAGGATGCACCAGGTACGTATAAAAACAATGACACTTAGTTATTTTATCATAAGTGTATATATAAATATTTATTTTCTTTTTCAGGTAAAATTAGTCTCACAACACTTTCGTTTGATACAATACTATATACTATTTGTACTTTACAAACTTATTATATATGAAATGTTTGTTAAATGAGTTTTCCCATGCTTATTACTTCTCACGTAACGCTGCGTCACACGCACGTCGCGAGCGCTTGATATCGACTGCTAATATCGTTTAATGAGCTTTACAAGCTGTTCTAATTGCACGCGTTACGCTGCTATGTCCGCACGTCGCGAGCGCTTGTAACCGACTGACTCTACGCAGGTTCGCTCGTGCCTCGCGCCTGCGCTCTCCCCACTCCGGGTTTTTGTACATCATCCTTAAGGAATGATTTTGGTATTTTTGTCATGTGTGTATAATCGTTGTTTGTGTGCTTGAATGTGGTGTCTTAATTTTATGTTTTTGTGTGAACGTATGTATTAAGTGTTAAATGTGTGTGTGTGTGCAAACCGGTATGAATGTAGAGTATGATTGATGTGTGTTAGAGTCCTTAAGGGTGTGGTTTTAAAACGTGTGTGTGCGTGTGCATAAGTACGTGAATCTAAATGTGTGTGTTAACTATTCCAAATTTATGTGTGTGATCCCTGTAATGCCCTGTACGTTAATTGACGCGTTTCAGCTCTTAAGAACAATGTGTATGTGTATTAATATTTTTGTGTGTGTTAGCGTGGTTGAGTGTGCGCGTGAGGATTGGTGTATGGTGTGTGTGTGTTTGGAACCAACACTGTCCCTTATGGGTGTAAGTTTGGTGTTTGATGAATGTCACCCTTACAGTGTGTAAACGTTTGTGTGTGTTTGACAAATGCATGTGGTTTGAATGGCGTGTATATTTGTGCTTAATGTGTATGTCTGTGTGTGCGTGTTTGAGTGGGGGGAAAAACTTTTCTTTAACGTCTGAATTCACTTCTTAAGACAAAACAAATACACTGCTGCCTTTCAGGTCTGTAACCTACTAAGATTAACATAAAACTAACTCTTAATACTACTCTTGGTGTGAAAAAAATAAAACTTAATATTAACACAAAACATATGTCTCATCGGCCTTATGACTCACTGGCCTTATTAATCCACACCATAACTTTTCTTAAACTTGACTTTGGTTTTGCCGTACCAAAAACTGAAAATACACGTTAACAAAAACTAACTGCCCTGCTGGCCTTGTGCACCACTGGCATAAATAAAAACTACAATACCTTTTCTTAACCCTAACTTTTGGCTTTGCCGTACATACATAAAAAAAAACTAAAAAACAAACCTTAATTAAAAATACCTGCCCTGTTAGTCTTGCACCTCACTGGGCTTAACAGAGAACATAACGCTTTTTC